CCCGGGACTTGCCGCTTCTGTGGTACTTCGCTATGCATGGCGCCTGAATTGCAACCTTCAGCGACAGCCATCATTGTTTTGGAAATCGAATTAATGCATGCTTCGCGTACTGACCATGACGATTTTTGTTTACTTTTGACTGGTTGCCAATTAGAATTCAGTGGTTTGGCCTATTTTCGATTGTCTACAGATTTTCCGCAAACTGTTCGCTTTATTTTAGCCTTTAGGACATTTTTTGATGTTATTTTGCATTAATTTAAAGTTCGATTTACTTTTTGCTATTCGTTACTTTTATCTTCCCTAAATATTCTCCGCTTCCCGCGCGTCCTAAGGCCCCGTCTATAAAACCCCTCTTACCACCGGTCCGTAATACAGGCCGTTATAATATGGTTTCCCCAGGTGGGGCTACCAACCCAAATACGACCAAAAATTCTAGCGAGCGATAAAACAGAATTACTTTATGAAATCACAAGTATTATAATTTACCTTCGACAACAAACCCACCCGGCTTCCCTAATAGCAAAATGAGCTCTGAACGAGCTCGCACGGTACTCGTTTCACGAGCTACGCGCGCTCTATTGGAGCTCTTTTGTGGTCATTTATTTGAGCTCGCTCAGGGCTCGCTAAAAGGAGCCCGAAACGAGCACCGAAAAACGGACTTGCGAGCTCGTTCGAGTATGACCCGAGCCCCAAAAAGCGAACTCCAGCGCTTACTCAACCGGAGTCCCCCTCTCTTCTATTGTCCCACCGCCTTTCATTTCCCCCAATATGGCCCACCAAAGCAGTCAAAGGAACATATGCCAAGATAAAAAGTACTATATTCGCAAAAAAATACAGCAAATCTGGTGATTGCTTGAATTAAATAAGGCCTTAAGGCTGTTGGCCTCCATTCTGAGCCGTTAAATCGTCGGTTTTTGTAGGAAGGTCTACAAGGGGAATATTTAACAAGGGTAAGTGAACACAATCTGGCCCCTGAACTTTATTTGTTGCATGAATATATTAAAAATTGCCTTGTGTTTGTTGGCTGGTGGAAGCCCTTTGGCACTTCCTTTGGTGTCGGTCATGTGCTTAGTCTTCCTATGAATTGGAAGACAATCTATTACTAGACATATAACTACTTCTTCTACTGGACAATGCAGAGACGGTGTACGCAAATGGCCGTTCAGCCGAGCTACAAGACCCAAATGCACGTACTCACCACTCCTCATTGCCGTGATTGGTTCTGAGAAGTTTGTCGTGCCCAACAGAGTTCGTGCGTCAACTGGGAGATCTGGCTACCACGGTCTCAAAGTCTGTAGAAGGCCGTTCAAATGGAACTGCGGCGTTTGCGAGCGTAAAGCCCACTTGCGCAGACTTTCACGTGCGCTCGACTCCTTCTCCCTTACGTCTGATGTTGAATGACCTTTATCGTACATAGACGCATGAGGAGGCTTCAACGTGGAAGAGTGTTCGTACTCGAAAAAGTTGAGGAGTCAGAGTGGTCAGTGAAGCCGCTAACCAACTCGAAGATGATGTGTCCGACGACGACATTTCCCTCAACTTTTGGCTGATTCTTCATATTACTTTTTCTGTTCCCCTACGTGCTCGACGTTGGCGATTACGTCCGCTAACACAGTTCAACACAATTATCCCTAAAAGGCAGCAAAATAAAAAACGAAGACAAAGTCGTTTCGAAATTCTAAGTCTTCCGAGCTATGAAATGTTCGTCTCTACCTCAGTGTTAAGAGCACGCCGGTCTACACTAATTCTTGCGGGGATTGAGTTTTCTCTGATTTACGGAATTATCTACTCGAAAGTCACGATTCTTTGGCGACAAAGGCTGATTCGCAGAACGCGGACTTCAGCCATTCCTTATTTCTGCTGTTTGTGAGCCAAGAAACTCGGATTATCCTTACATCGAAACATCTGGAACAACTCCCGCATAGACTGAGTTACTCTTCTAATCTTATTCGTTGAATGCATCATCTTTCGAACGTACTCGATAAAGTCCTAGAACTAAACAGCTTCTTCCTGTATTTGCTCGACGATCCTCTTTAAGACGAAGATATTCATCTTATAAAGTGACTCTCAACGACCAGAACGAGGCCAAAGGCTTCCAGTCTCCCATCTAAGGCAAAAATCTCACCTGATCGTTTTTTTCTTGTTGGATATACTAAAGTAGCACAAAATGGCAAACTCTGAAGTAGTAAAAAATGGTGCTCACTGCGTGGTCGAACCCGGGACCACACTAGTGGAAGATTGCGACGCAGACCACTGCTCTATCGCCGCACGCCTAGGCGGCCGCTCTAAAAGCCTTACAAATTGGTTACCACAGACGCATGCGGAAACCTCCTGCAGTGGTTGTCAAACGCTAGCCTCAAAGTTAAATCAACTGGAGGAAGAAGTTAAAAACATGAAGAATTTTATCCAGCAGACTTTCGTGACAGAGGACAAGTTGACAGCATCTACGCACAGGGTAACGAGGAGTAGAGCGCGAGACACCCAGTATAAGCAGTATCAGACCCCAGTTATCAGTGGTGACGTGAAACCTCCAAAATCAGTAAAGAATGAGAAAAAGGCGACAAGAAGGACTATGGAGAAAGGTTGCAAAAATCCGAAGGCGAAGGTGTCAGACTCGCCAAGAAAGGAAACCGAGGGCCGAGGAGGAAATTGATAAAGATGGACCGACGAAAGAGGAAACCACTCCGCAGACAGTATGCGCACCTCCTGAGCCTAGTGTGAGGGGAGCAACGACCAACACAGGACCGAATAAAAATGAACCCAGAGTGGGAGTGGAAGTACATACTCTCACGAATATTCCTGCAACTAGCGTCGAAGCCCAACTTGGGGAAGCCTCATCATCGGTCAGACCAATTATCCAACCGAATTCGTCGAATGGCGGTTCTGTGGACAGATCACAATGCATAGTCGTCCATGGACTTCGTGAATCAACGAACGATAACCCCAGATGTAAGATAAATGATGATATCATGACCTTGCAAGAGTGTCTGGATAGCTTAATAAAAGAAGATTAAGCCATTAAGATTCTGAAACCTTTCCGACTAAACAGTAAAGACAGAGCGAGCTTTCAAGGGATGAAACCAAGGCCTTTAAAAATAGTTTTAGAAAGTAGACTCCAGAGGGATCTTCTACTTGAACGAACAATAGGGGGGATCCCTGGCCATAGAGGTCTTTTTTTCAAGCGGATTACTCAGTACAAGAGAGAATGAAATGGAGGGCGCTGAAGGTGGAGCTGGCGACCTTGAAGGAACAAGGAGTGAAAGGACTAGTAATAATGAACGGAGTGATTGTTCGGGGACAACGACCCCTCCTGTGGAGGACGCCTGTCACACTAACGAAGGCCACACGGCCAGGCAACTAATTCGACGCAACAACTTACATAAAATTAAGTTCTTCTACGGAAATGTACAAAGCCTCTTGAACAAACTCGACGAACTTAGAATAATTGTGGCCGAACTATGTCCTGATGTTATTGCATTAACTGAAACGTGGCTCACCCCAGATGTCACAGACCCCCAACTACAGTTAGATGGTTATCAAGTGCTAAGACGAGACCGAACCAAAAAGCGAGGTGGCGGAGTTGCCCTATATATCAGAAATGCGGTCGAGTATAACCCTGTTAAAGAATGTGTAAATGAGCATGATCTGGAGATGCTGCAGTGTCATTTGTTGGTCCCCAAAGCCGAAAACGTTACTATAACTGTTGTATATAGGCATCCAAATCAACCTGCCGACGAAGATCAAGCGTTAATCACTCGACTCCGCGAGGACAGTCGAAAGCAAAACATGGTGATTGTAGGAGATTTCAATGCTCCGCGGATTAACTGGGACCTTATGACAGTTAAGGGCCACAGACAAGGATTCGACCAAACGTTATTAGACATGGCATTTTAGGAATTTCTGTTTCAACATGTACGAACTGTGACTCGGATGCGTGAAGGTCAGAAAGCTAGTTGCCTAGATCTTGTGTTTACCAAGAACGAGGAAAGCGTTGATGAAATAAATGTAGGCCCACCCCTAGGTTCTTGTGATCACATGACAATAATGTGGGAGTCGACACTCGTAGCTGTCCCCGAACGAAGCTCAAAGTCGTTAAGAAATGTCTGGCGGGGTAACTTTAAGGCAATGAAATCAGAAATTCGACAGACACTATGGACGGAAGCATTACGAGGAGACGTCAACGAATGCTGGACAACCTTCGAATCAACTATGAGAGACCTGATCGAAAGATACTGTCCCCTCAAGAAACATCCAACCGGAAACAAAACGAAATGGCTGGCAACATCGGTTAAGAAGGAAATCCGAAAAAAACGCAAACTGTGAAAAATCTTTTTACAAACAGAGAACCCAGTAAAACTTCAGGAATTCAGACTTCAACGAACCTTATGCAAAATACTCACCCGAAAAGTACGAGCTTCTTATGAACTGAAGCTCCTAGAAGAGGCGCGGGCAATGTCGGTTATGAGCGCGATACGCAGAACGCTTACACGCTTAAATAAAGATGTCTTTGGCAAAGTATACGGGACATTCGTGCGGCCGCATCTGGAATCTGCGGTACAGGCTTGACGGCCGTGGCTCCGGAAGGATATAGATATCCTTGAAGGTGTACAACGACGTGCTACAAAGGCTGTTCATGGCCTCAAAAACTTCACGTACGAGCAGCGCCTGACGGCCTTGAACCTCTATCCCCTCTACTACAGGCAGGACAGAGGTGACCTCATAGCAACGTTCCAGTTGGTAAAAGGACTTAATCTGGACGTCGACTGGGAAACGTT